AAGGCCACTACTCGGACCTTCCGGAAGGCCGTAGACTTGGCCTTTCGATACTGTAGCAGCTACGACCTTGACCTTTCTGGGCTGTAGCAGCTACGACCTTGACCCTTCGAGAAAGCTACAGCTACGACTTCTAGACCTGACTGAGACTCCTACTCGACAGGTGTACAGATCGAACCCCTGCTACCTATGGACCCTACGACAACCTACCAACTGTTACAAATGCACAGGTCACGGTCGACACAAATATTGTACACAGGTAAGGTGGGGACTAGGGATCGAGCCCTGGGATCTGCATCAGCTACAGCGAATTGGTGAATATCGTTTCACTCCTGCCGACCTAAATTCGAGGTCCTCCGAGAATATTTCTGATCTCTCTCGTAGCCTCTAACTATATCGGGAGCTGTCTCTAGAAGTTCTGCTCTAGTGAACCAGCGGTCATCCTCCGGCTCCTGATACACAAACCAGACCTTATACTGCTTCTGTGGATGACCTCTAACTCCTATTATGAACACATCTTCACCTACAATGCCGTCAATGTCATATCTTTCGTCCATGTCTGGAGGGATCATGGACCGTCTAGATGGAAACTGTTGACTTGTGACACACGGCAGTAACTTTGATGTGTGAAACACAGGGTAGGTGTGGAGGTGTGCTGGAATCTCTATAGTGTAGAACGGCCCATCCTCTCCGCCCTTGACTTCTAGAACCGGCCACGACCCTCTATACGCGGGCAGTAACTTCTGCGAGATGTTCTCCTCAGGTGCAAACTCTTTAGACTTGACCCACACCAGGTCGCCTACCTGAAACTGCGATCGGGGACGTTGCTTATTAGCATGTTCTATCATTCGGTGTTGGGTTGTCTTGAGGTTCTCAAGAACAGTGGTTATCTCTTTCTCGTGATGTATCGCGAACTCCCTGGAACCGGGCGGTAGCCTGTGAATCTGATCCCGGTTAAGTCCCTCAAACGGTCTACGTGGTCTAAAGGACTTGTGCAACTCGTTGGGAGTGCGACAGGTGGACAAATGCATGCTGTTATTGTATGCATTGGCTACCTTGGGTACCATCTCGTCCCAGTTAATCTGATCATGTCTAATGTACATGCGCAGAACTTGTTGCAGGATCTTGTTCATCTGCTCTGTCTGACCGTTAGTCTCTGGATGGCGGCCAGATGACATCAACAGCTTAGATCCATAGACTCTCATTAGTTCCTGCCGGTTCTGGCTAGTGCAGCGGGTGTCTCTATCACTAACAATAAACAATGGGACGCCATGCTCGCTAACCCATAAATCGAAAAACTTATGAATAACTAACTTTGTACGCGCCTCTACAGGCAAAGGAACAAAAATAGCATACTGGCTAAATCTATCGACTACAACCATGACTTGGCTCTTGCTGTGCCTACTCTTGACACCAGCATCTATGAAGTCGATGGAAGCTGAATCTCCAAGGTGGTATGGAATAGGCAAGGGTCTGAACAGACCTAGAGGGGCACGCGTAGTAGTCTTGTTCCTTTGACAGACTTTACAACTGCGAACATACTCTATGCATTTGTTTTTCATTCATGGCCATGTATACGCGTGCATGAGATTGGCCAAAGTCTTTTGCCAACCGAAGTCTCCCTCTGTATCATGGCATTCCCCTAGGATCAAACTGCGGATCTCTTCAAATAATAACCTCTCTGTAGTGCGGTACTCTAGCTCGGTCTCTGGGGCCTCCTTAACCTTCTTGAGGAGGTCACTATAGATAGGGTCCTGGGCATACGCTTGTCTAACTTTCTCTTGCAGGTCACGCCCTATGTCCAGATAGTGAACTATGGCTCCAAAGTAGTCTGACCTCCTACTCAGAGCATCCGCAACTACATTGTACTTGCCCTTAACAGCCTTGAGCGAAAAGTCATACTGGTCTATCTCGGCGGCCCACCTAGTCAACTTAGGTGTCATCTTGGCCTGTGTCTTCAGCCATCTAAGTGTCTCATGGTCTCAATACACTTTGAACTGCCTCCCAAGCAGGTAATGCTTTCAGTGCTATGAAGTTTGCCTGAGAGCGTAGAGTTCCCTCTCATACGTCGAGGTAGCAACCTTCTCTGAGGGCATCCTCGCTGACATGAACTCTACGGGTCTGTAGCCATTGTCGTCATCCTGCTGTAACATGGCGCCTATACCATACTGACTCGCGTCCGTGGTGGGCTTCAACTTCTTTAGCGCAGACGTACAGTCTTTATCCCACTGCCAGATTGTCTCTTTCTTGAGCAACCTGCGAAGGGGAACGGCGATAGTCGAGAAGCTCCTCACGAACTTCCTGTAATAGTTAGCTAGGCCTACGAACGACCACAACTCTGTCATCGTGGGCGTCAACCAATCTCTAATCGCCTCTATCTTACTGTTCTCAGGCTTAATGCCATCTCCGTCTAACGCGTGGCCCAAGTATAGGACTTGTGTCTTGGCCCACTCGCACTTCTTCGCATTGATCTTGAAGTTAGCTTCTCTCAACTTCTCCAAGACTTGCCTCAAACGACCCTGATGTTCCTGGAGGGTCCTACTGAAAACTAAGACGTCGTCTAGATACATTACGACAAATCTATCTAACCAAGGCCTAAACAGATCGCTCATACATTGTTGAAATGTCGTTGGCGCATTGGTCAGTCCAACGGGCATAACCATGAACTCATAATGCCCATATCTAGTCCGGAACGCAGTCTTGTACTGGTCATGAGGATGAACTTCCGAACTTTAAATTTATCTTGGAAAAATATTTGCAACCCTACACCCGATCTAAGAGATCGTCTATCATGGGCAGTGGTTCAGCATTCTTGACTGTGATAGCATTCAGACCCCTATAGTCTATACACATTCGCAACTCTCCTTCCTTCTTGGGGACAAATACAACTGGTGCTCCAAAAGGAGACGAACTGGGCCTAATACAACCCTTCTCAAGTAGCTCGTCTAGTTGCTTGCGCAGCTCCTCTAACTCTGTAGGGGACATCCTGTAGACTGCGCCCTTAGGAGTTTTACTGCCAGGCTCTATCTTTATCCTGTGCTGGATTGGCCGTGACACTATTCCTGTCGGCGGCTCTGTGAGATCTTTAAACTCCTCCAGCAGCTTGGCAATGGCTGGATCCGTGGAACTATCCTCTTCCTTAGGCTCAGTGACAGGCCTTACATACACTACGAAGACTTGATCCTCTAATTGCTCCTTTCTTACTAAACGAGCGAACGCGAGAGCACTGAGGCAGCAATGTGCCAAGGAGTTATCTACTCCAAACACATGAAACAAACGGGTTGTTTTAACTTGGCCTCACGGACTAGGGAGCCTACACTCATGCTCTCTTAAGTGGAGTGTGGCCCCTACTGCCTCTCCCCAGTCCATACCTAGGACTATGTCAAAGGAAGGTCGTCCTAAACGAGGAGAGTCAGGGAATGGAGAACTTTCTCCACCTTCCCATCTTTCTATAGGCGGAAGTACTCATGGACTCCCTCTACATAGTCCTCAACATGCATAGTGTGGTTGTCTGCGAGGATACTAACTATGGGGTCTTCGAACTTCTGGACTTTCAATCCTAGCCTCGGCTTCTTCAGCGCTCTACGGCTAATATAACTACGGGTAGCCCCTGAATCTATAAGGGTCCCTACTCTACTTCTGAAAACTTCTACATCCACTAGCACTAGCTGCCTTTTACTATCTTTCTTCATCTTGGCCCAGGTAGGCATCCTCTCCTTCAATTCCTCTTCCACGCCTGTGAGGGACGTGCCTAGAGAGATGCTGACAAAAGCAGTCTCTCAACAGCTAACTAGGCACGGACCTGCAACCTCTGCCAAAGGCTCATGTGGCGTGGGAGTTTCCTGTACGCGCGCGCTCACTTCCCCACATGGCCAAATAGTAGGGGCAGTTGGGATCCCTATCGGCGGCTGCCTTTTGACTCCTGGGCAGCCCAACGGGTCTGTCTATACTTACGACAACATTTTATAATATGGGCCAGATCACCACAATAGATGCACTGCCCCTGCTTCATACGTTGCTGCCACACTTTCCGGTCCAGGTCCAGATCTTCCCAAGGTCGGCCTTCTGGGCAACCCGGGTGCCAACCTCCTGACCTTTGAGGTGACCTTCCACCTCGTCGTTGTGGGGACCGACTGGGACCTTGGCGATTTGGCAGGGGACCTTGACCCCTACCTCCCGCTTGACGATTCCCTTGACCCCCAACCCCCTGTGCACCCAATCCTCGGCCTCCCATGGTCTGGCCCCTTTGGCCATGGCCGCCTCCTCTACCTTGCGGCCTCCCTCCAGCCGCGACAGCCGCATAGAACCTCCCCTGACCTACGCTACTGTCCTCCTCCTCGAGGCCCGACTCAATCTGACTGTAGGGGACCTCGTCAGTACCACCTTCGTCTAAGTAAGGATCAAATGATCCTTGGCCCTAACTTGGTCGGAGATGGTACGACCCTTCCACTTCTTTCCCTTGTTTAGGTCCTTATGCCAGAAAGTGGAAACTGGCACATACCTCGCCTCAAACAGGACCACCTCTCCACTCAACGCATCATACGTGATATTGGCCTGTTGGGTTTTGTCAAAGAAATGCCCTCATAAGGGCTCTGGCATGGCACGATAGAACAATTGGACCAGCTGGGTCTCAGTGACCCCATGGTCCGGGATGGCTACCAAGTTGTCCATAACAGCTTCGAGTGCTCTCGCACTCGTCCACTATCGCGAATGGATGGTTTGGAGCTTATCGGAGGCCCTGGCGCCCCTGGTGATGTCAGCAAACCTCTTGCGCAGGAATTTGAGGAAAGTGGCCAGGGGGGTAAGCCTCGAGTATGCGATCATATTGTGCTCGCAATCTGCGGCACGTGTGCGTGACCTGGCGAAGCTAGCTGCTTCGTCTTTTAAGGCATGGAAGGCGACGAGGACTTGTTCCTCAGGGGCGATATGTTGTAGATACACATAAGTATTGACACTAGCCTCCCAGTTGTCAAAACTTTCAATCTTCTTCCTGCTATATGAATCTGGAAACTTAAGCTTTACTGGATCCTTGCGGGGACGCGTCGTGGCCTCTACTGTGGCCACCACTTTAGCGCTCTCAATAGCACCCGCGCAAAACTTGTCTACGCCATCCTTCAATCTTCTAATTTCGGACCCGACGTGGTGACCCACGTCGCTCGCAAACTCTCTTAACCCGGATCGCATTGCTTGCAGGGTCACCTCTTGGCCCTTACGGGCCTGGTGCTCCTCCAGCCAGGCCTCACTCAAAACTTCCAAGAAGCCCATCATCTTATCTAGTTTGGCAGAGACCTCTGCTTGGGCCTGTAGCTCCTGCCTGCCGGTTCGAACTCGCTCAACCTCCCCGGCTATTCTGCTGACTTTTTCCCTCCTTCTCTTCTTTTCCCTCATCATCTTCAATTTTCACTCCAACTTCTCATCTTCTGTCGCCTGGCGTTCCAGGGGATCCTCTATCAACTCCAAGGCCCTGGCAAACACCTCCCTCTCCTCCTGCGGCACATATATAAATGTGCCTCTTCATCTTCTCCCAATGATAAATTACCCACCCATTCACTAATCTTCCTTTCCCTTCATATGTCCTCCTCCTTCGTGCCACTTGCTTCTCCTCTCTCTTCTCCACGCCTTCTTTCAAGGGGCTCTTCTTCTTCTTCTTCCTTCTCCTCTGCTGCGGCTTCTTCCTCTGCAACCCTTCTTCTTTCCTCTTCCTCTCGCTGTATTTGCAGCATCTTCTCCTTCTGGAATTGTAGCATCTCTTCTTCTAATCTCTTCTTCTTCGCAGCCTGCTCCTTTGCAATGGCCTTTAACTTCGCATGCTTAAGGAGCTCCTTCTCCTTTTTCTCTCTCAAAAGGGCGGCAATCCGGGCCTGCTCGGCCTCGGAGGGGGCAATACTCTTCCCACTACGGGTGTCAACCATGGTGATTGGTGCACAACCAGACAATGATTCCACTCCTCACCACTTAGACTCTACTCCCCCTGACTAACACACCTATTGACTCAATCTAAGAACTTACAGAATCCGGACAGGATTCTATCAACTAAGGTCCCTCGCCTAGACCTACTCTAAGGCTGTCACTACAAGACTTGTTGCTGATCAGGAGGCATTTAAGGAGATCCCCCGTTACTCCTCAGGAATTATTTAACGTCGCAGACAGGACGACGCGATCAGCAGGTCTTCTCAACACTTAGACGACCTGTTGTGCAGCCCGCAACTCAGATTTTGGGCCTAGCGTGCCACACCGAACAGCCCGCCGGTCAGTACCGGCCCTTGGGAGGGTTTGTGCCCTCCGGGACAGTCGAGTCGTCAGACACAGTCTTTAGCCCTGCTCACCCCGTGTGGGTTTGGTCAACAAGGCTCTATCCTTCATCCACAAAGTTCCTATCACCTGGACAGAAGAGACTCAATGCAGAAAGAAGAGACAAACAGACTTGACTGAGCAAGTACCACAGGGTGTGTGCATATCCATAGGGCCAGGGGATAGGTTGAGGGCTTGGCGAGATTATATCGGCTCCAGCTTGGTCAAAATCATGGTCACCAGTCGTGGTCAACGCCTTGGTCAATGTTGCAGTCAACCTTCCGGTCAACTCTCGAACAACGCATGTCAACCCTGATCAACACCTGGTCAACGCCCGGTCGACTCTCTCGGTCAACGTCCGGTCAGCTATGGCTATCGGCTTCTCCTTCCTCACCACCCTTCTCCTTCCTTTCTCCCTACCTCGCCTCCTTTCTCTTCACCCGGACTTTCATTTTCTCTTTTTTTTTTTTTGTCGTCTCTCCCTTCACCTCCTCGGCTATGGCTTCCTTCACCCTCCTTGGTCTCCTCCTCTGTCCTCTCTCTCTCCCTCTTCGTTACTCCGTGGTCAAGCTCTGCAACTATGGCCGCCTCCTTCCTCGTGGGACTGCACGACAAACTTCAAAGGTAAGTGACAACCAAACTTGTATCACTCATCTCTCTCTCTCTCTCTCTCTCTCTCTCTCTCTCTCTCTCTCTCTGTTATTGTTGTTACCGTATCACATAACTTACACCTGTGACGATCTAGTTGGGAAGTGAGAGCCATATACGAAGACGTTGTAGCCGTATTCTGGCGTAAGTGGCACCCACTTCCCAACTGTGTTGAAATGTGGGGTTCTTTGTGTATTTGTTGTTCATATTGCCTTGCAACTCTCTCTCTCTCTCTCTCTCTCTCTCTCTCTCTCTCTCTCTCTCTCTCTCTCTCACCGTAGCGATGTCTTTAACGCAAGTACGTGGTAAGCCAATCTTGTATTGCTCTCTCTCTCTCTCTCTCTCTCTCTCTCTCTCTCTCTCT